GCCACTCTCACAGTCCGGGGGCACGGGGATCCGGTCAGGGGCAAGGGGACCTGGCCAGGGACACGGGGACCTGGCCAGGGGCATGGGGACCTGGCCAGGTGCGCGGGGCATTGGTGTGTTTGAGAGGCTGTCAATAGGGCTGTATTTGACACTATACCATTATAAAACTTACAATCTGCTGCTTCTCGTCCCATCTCGCCGATCAGCTACATGTGTACAACATATGAGAGAATGGTGCACAGTGGATCATTGCACAGAATCAAAGAACACACGTCCCCTGATATCAGTGGTTTCACACATGGTCAAACTGTACACAAGTCTTCCACAACCTTCACCACTCTCCATGGAAACCTACGACGCAAATACACATTTCTTAACATGAAAAATGCTTTTGATGTTGCTAACAGGGAAGTTATATTGCACAAATTAGCACATATATAATTATAAGGTCAACTTATGCAATGGATACAAGAATGTCTTACTAACCCGAAGGCGTCTGAATTGTTCCAACGCCATGAAAGAGTAAGGCTCTGAGCGGTACAGCCTTCAATACATTGCAAATATTAGAATATCTAAAATGATGTACTGAGCACATATAAGGTCTATGATAGACTATCATGCACTAGTCTTGGTCATATATCTTACCAATAATAGTAGTACTGTATTTCGAAAATATAACAAATGAAGTCCTGAGAATTATACCAGGCTTTCCACTTACTAGTGAAGTTCTTACGTGTAAAGAACTAGGTATATTTATCCTTCAAGACAGAAGGACAGATATACCTTCACAATACAAGGCTAGACACACACACATACACACTCACGCTCTATAAATGTGCGAGCCTGACGCCCCAGCCGGCGGACGCACTCTTCTTCACAAGTGTATGTCGTCACAAGAGTCTCACACACACACACTTACACTTGCTCTACACCCAGGAATAACACACTCCACATCTCTCCCAACTTCTTCCTACGCCTACAACACACTATACACTTGATGTTCTACTCAAGTATAACACATTACACAGTTCTTCCCCGGACTATACGAACAAGTTCAACATATAAATGTATTCAGATGTAGCTAACAGTGATTGTCAATAGTGTCAATTATACTGACACAGAAGAAAAATCAGGTTTGTGTAGATGTTAATATTTAGTTTATTTAAACTAATTTAATAACACGGAACACGTTACTTAAGTCCCAAGAGGAGCATATAACGAGTGAGATAGAAGACAACGATGGGTTAACGAACTGAACTGCCCCATGACTGACCTTGACATTGTGTATGATGGCTCAACCTAAATAGAAAATACTTTGGGGCTCATCAACCCATCAATACACCACCCCACCACCTCACCCCCTCTCCCCCACACCACCACCTCACCCCCTCACCCCACACCACCACCTCACCCCATAACTTCTCCCTCTCGCCCCACCTGAACCCCACACCCCTCACCTGGAGCATACCATGTAGGACCTTGACCTTAAGCGTCTTAACCCTTGGCCCATATCTTGTAAGTCTCCCACCTGATATTCCTTGCGTCTCGCCTACATTTTTCTTCGGCGTTGATTCTTTCTGCATATTTGCATTTCCTTCTCATTGCCCGCTTGTTCCCTATACCTCGTAGGACCAAGTCAACATGACGGATACCTTGTGGACCTTCATCTCGTACTAAGCCATCATAAGCGTGTCAGGTTTTGGGATTTGTGGCCCCCCCCCCCCCCTCTCTCTCTCTCTCTCTCTCTCTCTCTCTCTCTCTCTCTCTCTCTCTCTCATTAAGTGTATTAACACAGTGTATTAACCCGGCTCTTGACCTGTGACCTCGGCCCTACGTGAGGAAGGTCTCGATGTTCTCTCTCATCACCTCACACAACTAATCCAAGATAATTATCAGGAGACGCCACTAAGCCGGTGTCACTATATAGCACTTGGAAGGGTATGGAGTTGGGATAGGTCGGAGGGATGGAACGGTAACTAACCACCTGGACCATCAGGAATGGAACGCCGACCTGCAAGAAGCGAAGTCATTGCTGTACCGATCAGATCAAGTGGATCCTAATGAACCAATCTTTAACCCTCGGACCTCAATGCATATTTTATAGTCATTAACCTTTTTTGACTTGCGGTATTTCTGACCCCCAAGTTTGGCAGACATTTTAAATCCCACATCCCGTTGTTTGTTGTTATAGATTCAGCTACTCTGAACAAGTTCCAAGTAGCACGGGCTATGGTGAGCCCGTAGTGGACTTACCTGGCACAGGATCGGGGCTGTGTCTGATCCACATCCCCATTTGACTCCCTATTTCCTAGGATTTGCTGCACCTCCTACCCAACCGGTTCTTAACATTCTAACAATTACAGATTGCCAATGGATTACCCAATGTCCCCATACCCCCCTTCACCAGACTGTCGAGACCATCGTCTCCCACCAGGCCTATTAGGTACCACTGCATCAAAAAATCCCAACATCTGGGTTTTACTCAACATATGTATAGCTAGGAACGCAACAGCTGAAAGACAATCCTAATGGTTTTATTATAGTCACGGAAAAACATGCAGTCACAAACACATAACATAGCTGAGTTTTTGCTGTTGTTTTTGTGTAATCAAAACATGGAATATTTTTAATTATTCACAGTTCGAGCCTCTATACCCCCATAATTTGCTTCCCATGCCCCCAAGGGGGGTATGGATACCCCCGGTTAAGAATCCGTGTCATAATCTTTGGCTGAAATTAGTTAATTTGACGTTTCTCAACTCCATAATTTAGACTCGAAAACTTTTGTCAGATATGGGAGAAATTTAGTGGCAATATTTTGCTAGTATCCTGGCATGGTCGACATGACTTTGCTGCCTCCATCGTGGCTGCCATCCCCGACCCTGGCTGCCATCTCCGACCCTGGCTGCCATCCCCGACCCTGGCTGCCATCCCCAACCCTGGCTGCCATCCCCGACCCTGGCTGCCATCCCCGACCCCTGGCTGTCATCTCCGACCCTGGCTGCCATCCCCGACCCTGGCTGCCATCCCCGACCCTGACTGCCATCCCAGACCCTGGCTGTCATCTCCGACCCTGGCTGCCATCCCAGACCCTGGCTGTCATCTCCGACCCTGGCTGCCATCCCAGACCCTGGCTGCCATCCCAGACCCTGGCTGCCATCCCCGACCCTGGCTGCCATCCCAGACCCTGGCTGCCATCCCCGACCCTGTCTGCCATCCCCGACCCTGGCTGCCATCCCCGACCCTGGCTGCCATCCCCGACCCTGGCTGCCATCCCCGACCCTGGCTGCCATCCCCGACCCTGGCTGCCATCTCCGACCCTGGCTGCCATCCCCGACCCTGGCTGCCATCCCAGACGCTGGCTGCCATCCCAGACCCTGGCTGCCATCCCCGACCCTGGCTACCATCTCCGACCCTGGCTGCCATCTCCGACGCTGGCTGCCATCCCCGACCCTGGCTACCATCCCCGACCCTGGCTGCCATCCCCGACCCTGGCTGCCATCTCCGACGCTGGCTGCCATCCCCGACCCTGGCTACCATCCCCGACCCTGGCTGCCATCTCCGACCCTGTCTGCCATCCCCGACCCTGGCTGCCATCCCCGACCCTGGCTACCATCCCCGACCCTGGCTGCCATCTCCGACGCTGGCTGCCATCCAGTCTTCAGCGTCTAGCCATAACTTACAAGTTAGACACAGGGACCTTCCACCTCTCCAACTTGCTTAACAAACATGATTATCCAGCACCTGGATGCTGACCTTACGGCGAGAGCATCTTCCTCAGCCATCCACCTCAGTGCTGGATGGTCTTGACAGGATAGTAACTTCTGGATGGTATTGTGAGGATAGTCGCTATCCTTCCGGTTGTTGTAACCTTTATCACAAGTACAGGACGCGCACTACTGGACCGTTATTCACACGCTTCCAAAAGCTGATAGCTACTGGACTGTCATTCAAGACGTGATTAACAAAAGTGGGCTTCGTGCTCATCTTAGTGGTCCACACCTGGCCTGCACACCTGGCCTGCACACCTGGCCTGCACACCTGGGGCCAGATTCACGAAAGCACTTACGCAAGCACTTACGAACGTGTACATCTTTCCTCAATCTTTGTCGGCTTTGGTTACATTTATTAAACAGTTTACAAGCATGAAAATTTCCCATTCAACTGTTGTTATTGTTATAAACAGTCTCCTGGTGCTTCGGTGCTCATTAACTGTTTAATAATTGGAAACAAAGCCGCCAAAGATTGAGAAAAGATGTACAGGTTCGTAAGTGCTTGCGTAACTGTTTCGTGAATCTGGCCCCTGGTCTCCACACCCAAGGCTGCTGCAGCTCAGTCATTACGTCAAAGCTTTGATGCAATGCGCCAGTCCAAGATATGTTAAGTGTCACCGACAACGCAATTAACTATATGTTTTAAATACTATTAATAATAATAATATTATTTTTATTATTATTATTATTATTATTATCATTCATTTGCGTCTGACTCTTCCCCATGGGGGGGGGGTTCCTCGTCATGATGCCCATCATTTAGAATAACATGAAAGCTACCTGAGTTTACCTGAAGGCCATCATCTCTCTAGTGGCCTCGGAGGGGATAGGAAGCCGGCGGCTTGTCAAAGGTCTCCCCATTATCCCACTATAGCTAACGAGTTTGGCAGCCTTGCTCTATCAGCAGAACACATCTTAATCTCTCATACTTCATGTATAGACATAATTCCTCACATCTTTGACATTATACATTACCATTATGTGACCCGGAAGTGTAATATAGTGTGGCCAGGAAGTGTGACATAGACCCGGAAGGGTGACACAGACCCGGAAGTGTGACACAGCGTGACCCGGAAGTGTGACACAGCGTGACCCGGAAGTGTGACACAGCGTGACCCGGAAGGAGTGACACAGCGTGGCCCGGAAGTGTGACACAGCGTGACCCGGAAGTGTGGCACAGTGTGACCCGGAAGTGTGACACAGTGTGACCCGGAAGGAGTGACTTACCTCTCGCCGGTGTGCAGAGATGTGATGGGCGGGTCTGGAGGGTCCGGGGAGAGGGGGCGTGTTTTCGACAGCACCTGGCTGTTGACCAATGAGGGTGAGAGAACGCGTATGTCGCTCCGCCCCTCGTCGTCATCCTCGCCAATCAGCGAAGACCGAATATTGAATGACTGAGAATGTGCATGGTTGCCCAAAATTTTACTTAATCTTAACTTATTTGCGAGACTCGCTTGTTTTTCGTGCTGGAGCAGAGATGAGGTAGTTCTCAAGTTAGATTTGGAAGTGAGGCTGGGTGAGATCTGTGAGGTTAATGGCGGAGAGGAGGCGAGGGAAGGGGAGGTGACGGGAGGAGACGAGGCAAGGGAAGGAGAGTTGGCGGGAAGAGAGGCCAGGGGCGGGCCTGTGATTGGTGGAGACGCGTCCGCAGGGGCGGGGCTAGGCGACAACGTCATCTGTTCCTCATGGTCTATCACCTCCCCACTCTGCATAATTTCTGTAACAAAAAAGAAGAAAAAGGTTTAAGAGAATCACCGTCAAGCACCACTTACCTTACCTTACATGTAAGGTAAGGCAAGGTAATTTTTACGACTATATAGTGTTTAGAAGGAATATGAGGATAAGGATAGATGGGACGAAGGGAAGGAATGGTGCCCAACCGCTTGGATGGTCGGGGATTGAACACCGACCTGCATGAACAGAGGCCGTCGCTCTACCGTCCGGTCCAAGTGTTGGGCTTATTACACATAATTATCTTTAAATTATCATAATTATCATACTTTATATTTAAATTGACAACTTTGTAATAGGTAGTACACCAATGGATTAATTACATGTATAAATTTTTTTAACTACAACTGAACTATTGCCGACCCTTCCAGCTAGATATTGTAGCAGGCACAACTTATTCAGACATTCAGTTTGTTTTTAAATTTACCCCAAAGAGCAAATTTGTTGGAGAGAGTCACTCATCCTGTGAGTGAACTCACCACCATAGCCGGCTGTCCAACACCCCCAATATGAAGAACACCCGCTGGGTTCTTCATCTAGCCACTTACACCTAGATTATTAACCAACATTAACATTTACCAAGACAGTATTTTGACATATGTTCCTAAGACTGAGTAAGGACCTTGCATCCAGCCGCTACAGACAACCTTTATCCCTACACGTAGGATACCCTTCCATTACCCTCGTTTCCTCGGTCCAAACACGACTGACGAAACTGAACTTTTTAGAGAGGCAACGGCTTCTGTTCTTGCGTTCAATCCCCGACCGTCTAAGTGCTTGGGCACCATTCCTTTCCTTCGTCCTATCCATGCTTCTCCCCCTACCTCCTATGTCTTCTGCCTCATATGTGGTAGATAGGCGTGGGAGGTAGGGCAGAGGCAGGGAAGAAACGTGGGAGGTAGGGCGGAGGCACGGGAGAAACCTGGGAGATGGGGGAAGAGTCGTGGGAGGCAGGGAAGAGGCGTAGGAGGTATTGTTGTTTTAGATTCAGCTTCTCGGAACAAAAGTTCCAAGTGAGTCCGTCGTGGACTTACCTGACACATGGGGAGGTAGGGGAGAGGCGACGGGGGAAGGGCAAGGAATAGCCGTGGGTGACACGAAATTTTCATTTTAGATTAAAGTTCGGCAATAGGATAAGGAAGGTGGGCCCCCAGGGGAGGACAGTAGTCCAAGAGGTCACACGGGTGGGTCAGGTTGGGCGGTAGTGGTTGCCAAACAAGCAGGCAATATTTACCTGTGTCTGTCTCGCGGGTTATTGATGAGCGGTAAACACCATTATCAAGTCGGGCAGCGTCTATGTCTTAATATTCCGTGTGTGTGCATACATTACATGTAGTCTCTTGACCCAGCCGGCACGCACCCTCTCTACAACGGTCATACTCACCTAGTTGTGCTTGTGAGGGGGGTTGAGCTCGGGCTCTTTGGTCCCGCCTCCCAACTGTCAATACACTGGTGTAGAGGTTCCTGAGCCTACTGGGCTGTCATATCTACATTTGAAACTGTGTATGGTGTCTGCCACCACATCACTGCTTAATGCATTCCATCTGTTAACTACTCTGACATTGAACAAGTTCTTTCTAACTTCCCTGTGGCTCATTTGGGTACTCAGTACTCAGTCGTGTGTAAACCGTTTTTCAATCATAAACAGGGGGTTTGGCGGGTGCATGGAATGGACTTTGGCCTTTGTTTATAAGGACGGGCTGACACACAGAGACGAGGCTAACTATAGCCCGTGCTACTTGCCCCGCTCCTGTGCCAGGTAAGTCCACTACGGGCTTACCATAGCCCGTGTTACTTGGAACTTATGTTCTGAGTAGCTGAATCTAAAACAACAACAACAACAGGACGGGCTGCTCTGAGTGAAGATACCGCCATAGCGTAATGGACAACCTCCTCCCAATAGGAAGGTCGCTGGCTGGGGTATTCACCCTGTGAGTGAACACACCGCCATGGCAGCATGTACAACACTCCCCGCAGGAGTTGGCATGGTGACTGGTTCCTGTAGACTCGTGCCGAAGTCCAAGGCCTGAATTCATCAAGTATGTCAGCCCGTCCTCGTAAACAAAGGCTAAAGTTCATTCCATGTACCCGCCAAACCCCCTGTTTATGAATGAAAAACGGTTTACACACGACTCGCAACTGATGACGTCCGAACACTTCCGAAAGAAGTACTTCGCTGACGACTTTTGTTCGAACCACAACGCTGTAAATGCTTCACCCACGTACTACAAATACAAATAATCGCCAACAGAACCTAAACACCTGACCTAACCAGTGTCTAAATATGCACAGTATGCTATTATATAATTTTATTAATTTATATTTGAGAAAATTCCGGGGTCAACCGCTGGATGGAATGGACTTGGTCAGAGGACGGATTGAGGCAGGACATTCAGAGCGTAACTCTCGTCCAGTACCTACACTCACATAACTACACTATCCCTAAGTTAAAGCACACTCTATGCTGCAGGTCAAGACACACACACACACACACACACACACACACACACACACACACACACACACACACACACACACACACACACACACACACACACACACACACACTGTATATACATTGTCATAAACAGCTTTCACACACAAAGATATGGAGTTAATTCGAGAAGGTGGATATGGTGTTGGTGTTGAAGGAGGAGGAGGCAGAGGAAGGGAAGCTGTATGTGGAAGAGACACTGGTGGAATGTTGTTGTTGTTATAGATTCAGCTACTCGGAACAAGTTCCAAGTAGCACGGGCTATGGTGAGCCCGTAACACTGGTGGAAGAAGTGGTGCTTACCTAACAGTATCCACGAGGTGGGGGAGGGAGGGAGTGAGGGGTAGCACTTTATGCCCCACCTGCCACCCTTGTTGTACCTCCTGCATCACAACCTAACTAATTTGACGTTGAAATTCTTTGTCTAATCTGGCCTTAAAGGTGTGGAGTTAGGTGGCTTCTACAACTTCTTCAGTACATTCCACTTGTTGACCACCCGTACAGGGTGCGAGTACTGCCTTACATTACTTCTATACATTTGTGTTTCCAGCTCCCACCTGTGTCATCTCGTCCTACTTTACCTCGAATTGAAGAAGTTATCTTTATCCATCTTATATATTCCCCTCATTATCTTGTATGTTGTGATCATATCCTTTCTGTTTCTTTTATGATCAAGAGTTGTGAGATTTAGTTCCTCTAAGCTATCCTCGTAGCTTAACCCTTAACCCAAAGTATTAACAAATACCTTTGTATTTGTTAATACTTTAGCTTTACGCTTCACGCGGTGTTGAGTCCATGCCGGAGCTGCATATTCTGGTATTGGTCTAACAGATTTTGTGTTGATTGTCTTGAAGGAATCCTTATTTAGGTTTATAAACGATGTTTTTATATTTACCAGCGTCCCATATGCTGCTGATGTTATCCTTTTTGTGTGTGCCTCTGGTGTTAGTGTAGGACGTATATGCACTCCCAAATCTCTCAGATTCCTGTAGTTACCTTCCTCTAATGTATGCAGCTGCCTTCGTGTCTCCTCCTTCCCTTTCCCATCTTTTTTACACAGTACTTAATTATTGGGACTGAATTTCACCATTCGTTTGACCACTCCTGGAGTTTGTCTAGGTGACTTCTTGAGGTGATTGATTTCATGCACTCCTCTGTTTTGACATTCCTCATCAGGTTTGTGTCGCCTGCAAACATTGACATGTCCGAGCTCACTCCCTCAGGCAGGTGGTTCACATAAATTAGCAAGAGCAGCGGCACCAGGACCGAGCCTTGTGGGACCCCACTTGTTACAGTGAAGGACCGAGCCAGGACCAAGGACCGAGCCTTGTGGGACCCCACGTGTTACATTCTTCCAGGTTGAGACCACCTCTCTGACTGTGACTGTTTTCTGTCCTTCAGGTACTCCCTTACCCAGTTATCCCAGCCTACCTCTCCTCTCATCATGTTCACCAGTCTCTCGCAACGAACACTCTCAAGTGCCTTGCGACAACTTAGGAAAATACAGTCTACCCAGCCCTCTTTTTCCCAGTCATATTTTAGTAACACTGTCATGGTACTCAATCAAGTTTGTTGGGCACGAATTTCCTTTTCCAAATCCATGGTGACCTTTACATGGAATACTTGTCAATGACACCAATCTGTAAAATATAGTTGGAAGAAATTGAAATAAGTTTATTGAGGTAAAATACACACAAAGGGATGAAGTAGCTCAAGCTATTCTCACTCCGTTCAGTACATCGTGTTAATACATACATAGACACACATCACAAACAATAAACGTATTACCGAACATTCTGAGAGATAAACATATACATTTCATAGTTGGAGGCGCAGGTAGAGGAAGGAAAGGGGAAGGGTGAGGAGGATAAAGAGGAAGAAGAGGTAGACTAGAGCGTAGGAGTGTTATCATGCAGGATGTGGTGTAGGTTATGGTGATAGGAGAGAGGTCAGGCCAGGGTGACCTGGAGGCACCGGGGTCGTCCACTAACAGCCGTGCGCCGCAAGCTTTACTGCCAGCACGAGCCATCCGCCCCGCTCATAACTACCTAATGAACTCTTCCTATAATACCAACTATGCCGCCACATTGATATTCTTTGCTAGTCTATAACGATTATTCTCACTTATAAAACACACACACACACACACACACACACACACACACACACACACACACACACACACACACACACACACACACACACACACACACACACACACACACACACACACGGGTGTCTGGTAGCTCAGTGGACAGCGCGCAGGGCTCTTAATTCTGTAGCCCGGGTTCGATTCCCGGACCAGGCAGAAACAAATGGGCAAAGTTTCTTTCACCCTAAATGCCCCTGTTACCTAGCAGTAAATAGGTACTTGGGAGTTAGACAGCTCTTAGGGGCTGCTTCCTGGGTGTGGTGGGGGGGGGACAAAAAAATTAATAGTTAGTAACAGTTGATTGACTGCCAGTTGAGAGGCGGGCCGAAAGAGCAGAGCT